ACTATGAAGCAGCAAAGTGTCCTTCACTGCCTTTTATGCCACTCTCCATTCTTTCTACAAGCTTCCATTGTGTTTAACTCCTTCCTGTGGGTGAACTCCAATAAAGGGCTGTGGAGCTGAACTCTCTCATTTGGGGGGGATGGTTTTTATCACAGCTTTTTGATGTCCTTTATCTCTACATCAAGCTGCCTCTATTTGATCCAGTGATCTGCAACAAATTCTTAGTGTTGGTTTACTCCCATCACTGGCCATGGGTTGGAACCATAAAATATCTGTATTCTCATCTCCTGTTTCACTTCCTCCCAAGGCTTCTTCTGCACCACTTACATCCCCTCCGATTCTCTCCAATCTCTTCCTTACAGTCTTTTTCCATAAATAGTTCACTCCCCTTAATTTTCACTTCCCAATCAATCCCCTGAAGTAAAAATCTTTTCATATAGTTCTCCTTCCCTTATTCAACTATTAATTCATATCTATTGAGTACTAGGTCAACTGCAAGTGCCCCAGACATGCTAGGAATTAATAGCATTCTCTTTGCCAGGCTTCTTTCCATGACCTACATGTATGAGAGACAGCTTCAGCACTACTTGCTGAAATGTTCATATACCATGCATGTTCCTGGTGAGTTGCAAGCCCGGCTGGCAACTCGCCAGAAGCTGAAAGGCTACCTAATGGGCATAAAAGTTGAGCAGATTGTCTGCTTAGACTGGAGCAAACAAGCTTATCTACAGACATATGGACAGCAAAATCTACAGGTCCCAGGATGCAGTATACCAGCAGTCTGGCCATTGGGATCAAAAGGAAGCTTCACACGATCAGCTGCTTTGGTGACAGACACTATCACCAACCTCAAGGGTTCAAAACCCCTGGGTCAGGCAGCCAAAAGTCACCAGGGTGGCTTAAATTGCAGATTTAAACAACAACTACATCGGATCTTTTATTTGCCTTGTGGTTGAGACTGCCAGGTTTACATTTTCATGCTTTTCTCTGAAATCACAAAGATATGAAATGAAAGCTGAGATTCTCACATCATCACTTACTTCTGAGAGCCGCATTTTATGATGGGAACCCACTTGGCAGCCATCATAAATTATCTCTAGCCAATAAAAAAAAGAAAGCTCCCCCAATACAGTTGTTGCCTGACTGCTTTTAGACTGGGAAACTCATTTTTTAATCCCTTGGTCTGGTCCCTCTGTCTTGAAGCTGCTCCTGAAATGTTTATGGCCACTGCAGGCTGGGAACACATATCCACACAGCTCCTTCTCAGCTGTCCCCTACACAGCATACTCATTGTAGAGAGAAGGAAGGCAAGTGCCACAAGGTGTGCACTTTATTTTGCTCATCTGATTTCAGGTGGAATACAGCATGTCAATCAGAAGCACAGAAAAGCAGACTGGTTGTGTGGGACTTGCATTATTACTGCCCAGATAACCAAGCAAGAAAGACCAATACATGAAAAGGTAACTAATTAGTTAAAACCCTTTTTGTTCCATCTCCACAGAAGACAGGCCCAGCTTGCAATAAGGGACTGGGCAGACAAAACAAAGAAATAGTTTTACTCAGTTCCAAGCCCCAGATAAGGAGGCCATTTTAACCTCACTTGCAATTTTAAAATGTAACAATGGGCTTTAAGGTAACCTGCCTCTGAACTTTGACAGTCTCTGCCAAAAAGAGACCCTGGACAGGAAAAGTAGGACATGCTTTAGGTCAGGACTGAGAAGCTCTGGCAAAGCTATGTTTAGGTTGGGACTAAGGTGCTCAGTAAAACTTTGTAGGAAAGGAGAGCCAAAGGCTGGGATAGCAGAAGATGCTTCAGCCTAAATAAAGCGACTTTGTCAGATGTGTGTAAAAGAAATTTACCCAGCATCCACCCACCCTATGCCTGCTTCTTCCCAGTGCTATCTGCTCCCTCATTTTCAAAAATAACAAGTAACAAGTTTGGGGAAAACGAAACTACCTTGCCAGCTGCACGCTCACCCATGGGGCAGGCTGATCCATTACTTTTAAGCTCCCAAACAGGTGTAAATGTCCAGGACTATGTCCAGGGCAGGCCTCCCTCCCACTTTCTCCTGCACCTTCTGGCCCAGAGACTGCAGCTGTGGGCAGCATACAGGAGCAGCAGTTCAAGTTTGCTGATGATGAAAGGAGATGATGCCTGAGGTTTTTTTGCATCCACATCAAGCAAGCAAAAAAACCTCCCATTTTCAGTGGCAAAAAAATGGTGTGACATCTCTGCACAGCAGCAAACTCTGCTGCTGATCTACATTTCACTTGCTACAAGGGCTGGAGTCGGAAACTGTAAATGGAGTGGGAAACAGGAGGATGGGGCACCCCCTACTCCAGTCTGGCACCCTCCCCGCTTTTTGTGCCCTGGTTGCACACCTGTCCTATGCTACTTATGAGACTGCTTTCCACACCTTGCAGACGAATCAGGGAGGGAGTCTGCCTTGTTGAGCCTATGAGCAGTCCTTGCCTTGTTCCCATAATTCAACCTACTCCAGACTGAATCCTCCACTAGCTGAGATGCACCTCAGCATGAGCTGCCTTTAAGAAATATCTCCTTTGCAATAGAGGCAGCAACCTTCCCAAAAGAGATAGCAAAAGCTCACCTTTCCAGTGACCTCAGATCACTATGTATACCTCTCTTTTTTGATTCCTGCGTCATAGTGCAGGATTAGCCAATACACAGCCTGTGAGCCAAATGCAGCTGAAACAGTTCTACAAAGCAACTGCCCTTATGTCTAATAGGCACTGATGGGGAATTGCATAGGTGGCCCTGCAGTCTTCTGAGTTTGACATTCCACATTACAGATAACTTCAGCTGCAAACTATCCTATGTTAGGTCATATAGGCCCACAACTAGTTGCCAACACCTTTGGGGCCACCATTCTAGTGGAAGCATGGAAGGTTCCAAAGTTATACAGTCTGCTGCAATAGCTCTGTATTTCTTTTGTGATTAAAGAGGTCTCCCCTTAAGGAAACCCAGAAGAAAAGGGTCTAGAATAGGAACATGGACAAAGCCTAAACAACACAGTGCAGCACTGCTGCTACAGCACTAAGATGAGATTAATACGTTTCCTTAGCAGAACAGAGAAGCCACACCCAGTAGGCAATGCTCTTCTTCGAGCATGACAATAGGGTGCAAAGCAACACCATGTGTAGAGCAGTGTTTCTCAACCTTCTTATGCTTCAGGCACCCCTTGTTGGGCTCAAGCTACTCCTCCATATCTTTTGTAAATTGAGCACCCCATTTCAAAAACAAATGTATTTATTACAGTGCTTACCTCCTTGAACTTATCTCTTCACACCTCACAGCACCTTTCAAAAAGGTCTTGAGACACCCCACAGCACCTGGCACCCTGGCTGAGAAATATGGGTATAGAGACACCACAGGCTGGCTCTGAGCATGCTAGCACTAAACTTAGAACTGGGAGCAGCATAGTTAAATTAGAGTGGCACTGCAATTAGCTCCCTTTGTTCTCAGCAGAGCCAATTTGTCTGGGTGCGGCACTGTGCAAATGCAGTCCTTCTGCTTCTGGTCCTGCACATGAAGCCAGCTTGGAGTACCTCTGCATGGCACTACCTTGTGTCATACAGACACACCCTTCAAGTCAAAAGGGTAGGTCAGTCTGTTCAGTGAGGCAGACACTTGCAGGCTCTCTTCCAGGTACACCTCTGCAGAACAGCCAGAGCAGCAGCAATCCCAAGGAAAGTTGGGCACCAGTTTTCATTTTAACCCTGTTTCTGCTCACTCCAGGCTTTCTGAAACATTCAAAATGCAAGCTGAAGTCTCCTAGACTGATTTGCTGCTCTAAAGTTGATTTTTGGTCAGGTAAGTTTGAGTGTGTGTGTGTGTCACATCCAAGATATTTATACAAAGTCTGGGAAGATGTATACAGCCTTGGCCTCCTCAGTCTAGCAAGCCAAGCAGGAGTCCTTTGCAGAAAGCTACTCTGGTGGAGGCACAAAATAAATCCAGATTTGGGAACAGAAAAAGCTCATGGCACCAGAATAAGGGAATCCTTGGCCTCAGCCAGAAGCATGCAGTAATCCAGCAAAACAGACAGAAAGAGAGAGCTAAAAACTAGAAGTAGTTAATATTTTATAAGGAGCAGACTACATGTTTGTAGAATTAAGTGAACTTCCAAACCTAGCAGAGCAGTGAGGAATGTAACTGCAAAGCATGTGGGACTTATAAAGACTCTCTCTCCCTCTATGCTACAAACTAGAACTCAGTCAGAGCTCTAGAGGCAGAAGAGCCATATAAATCCAACCCGCTGGCATCCCTTCAGAGAAAAAATCTTTTCAGAGGAGTCCCCTGTGGGCCTTTAAAGAGAAAAAAAAAAGGACTATCCACCAGACTGATGGGATCTGAACTACAGATATGCTGTAACATGCACATGCATGCACTACTTTTTTCTCCTTTCAGTTTGTTTCATCCTACCAGGTAACAGATTGTTATATACTACAGCATTTCTAATAGTTTATCAAAGGAAAGTTTGAACCCAGCCTCTCAAAGATAGGAGCCTGGCGTTAATGAGAGCCCATTTAGATAAAGGAGAGCAATATTGGGTGGGATGGGAGGTGTGAAATACTTCAACCCCCATAAACTTTCCTCTATCACTAGTAGTGTTATCTCCCTCAGCAGGGCACCAACTGCTCCAGACCCCATCCTAATCAGGAGGGAATGCAGAGCTCTGCCTCAGCACTGACAGAGGGGTCAGAAAAATGTTACCTGCTGTGAGGATATGACACTGCAATTTGGGTTTGTTGGGAGCATCTTGTCACTGTAAATGTCTGGGATTTCTCAAGAGAGGGACCAAGCATCCTATTCACCTGTGCTAGATATTGCTCCTTTAGAGCTGTCTTTATTAAGACACAAAGGTCTCCTCCTAAGCAAGTCAACCACACTTTGTCCATTTTAAGATGTGGAAGGTCACCAGAGTTATCTTCCCTTTGCTCATATCCCTTGACAGCTCTCTTAAGGAATGTCTGTTTACCTTTGGGTATATCATGCTCCAGAGAATCCAGGAAGTCAATGGATGGGTCCAGGTCAGCCTTTTCCAGGAGTGTTTTGTTCTTCAGGTTAACAGGCTCCGTGAAGTGGAAATAGGAGTTTAATTTCTTTGCCTCCGTCATGGAAAGACCTGTAATATGAGTAGTTGGAGGCCATCACCACTGTACCACACCACAAACTGTGAAGAGCTCTATTCACTCATGGCTCAGAGCAGAACCATATCTTCCCTCTACCTGTGTTCCAGGGACTCCACAGAAAGGCAGAGATCTCCTGAAAACAGATAACTGCACTATGCTGTGCTAGGGCAATTTTGCAGGCACTGCTAAGAGTAATCCCTGAGTAGTACTGGGCACTGGTCACAACAAACTCCCTGTGCCCCTTTGTCTGCACCCTGTAACCTATAGCACTTTAACTGCACCCGGACACTGCTAGAAACTCAGTGAACCAGAACATAAGGGAAACTCCACAGTCAATGGCTCTGGACACTAAGCCAAACCAGATCCACTAGCAGTGTGAAATTCTTCTCCCATCTCCCAGAATGGCCCACTTGATATTAATTATTATGTTGGAAGCTCTGTCAGCTGAATTAATATGGAAGCAGCAGCAGCAGATCTTCTATCCTCTGACCACCAAGTCTAGGGAGAGGAACAAGCCAGAATCCAGAGCACCAACTAGGACGAAGTCATCTTTACTTACTGTTTTTGCATACAAAATACATACAAGCATCCTACCCCAGTAGAGATGATATGGACTTACCTTCAAAGTTCCTGTTTTCATGGACAGGTCCAAGCGGTGTCTTCACAAATGCACCCCGTGGGATGATACCCACTGCCCTATCTATTTGTTCTATTGTAGCTACAAGTCGGGTCTCCTCCTTAATAAAGAGCTTTAAAGGAAAAAAAAACCCAAATATAAAAACCTGGCTTTTCTTACTTACTGGAAAGAAACTGAGGCCACCTGTAGGAACCACAGTAGAATCATCAGCTTGGAGTTTGATGGAGAATCAGATTGCACTTACCCCGCTGTCATCTTCATATATCCTGTCACTGTCTTCCTTCCTCTCAGGGGACTCGTACTCATAAGAAGGATCCCCCTGGAAACGGCCCCTAAGCCCTGCAGTCTGGGCAATCATTTCCTCAGTAGCTGGGGGCAGGAGGCTCCACTCCACGCAGTTCAAGCTGTGCACCACCCAAACACAATGAAGAGCAAAGGTTATTGAAGCACAGGGGCCCTCATTTTCAAACATGCTGCAGCCCCCTGGGTGCCTTGCAGGAACCATGAATGAACAGGTGATGAGCAGAAAAGCCCTATAGCTTACAATGCTGGAAACCATGTGCTTCTTCAGAGCATCATGACACATGCCTAGGACAGAGAGGCCATGCTGAGGAGCAAGAGAAGCAGATGGGGGGAGCTGCTGTGAGATCCTGTCCTCTGTTCTGCACCCCCAGAGATGGGCTGAAGGAAAGACAACCTTGTTGCTGAGGAGCTGAGCCAGGAAAGAGCTCTGTGCTTTGCACCCAGTTCTGCCCCAAGCTCTTTGGGCAGGCTCCTGGGTTTGGAAATCTACTTCTGGGAGGATGGGGCAGGGTTTGTAGATAACTCATCAGGCTCTGTGTGGCTCTGCTGTACGATCAGTGACAAGAGGAAGCGCATCAGAGTGGGAAAGCCATTTGACAGCCAGGGGCAATGACAAACACCTCAATCCGATCCCCTGCCCACCCTCAAGCTCTGCAACACTAGGAAATCCCAGCCCCATGCTCTTCTCAGCCACAGCCTCTGCCCCTGGACTCTGTTAGGTAGAGTCACCATACATTCAGGTTTTACCTGATGTCTTCTTTTTCAGTTCTCCCATGTCAGTCTAGGCAGTTTTTTAAAATCTGAACAAATGTCTGGGATTTTGCTCTGCTCAGCATCAAAGCTTTTCCTGACACTTCTTAGCTTGCCCTAGCAAGGAGCTGCTTGGGGCTGGGGACAATAAGGGAGAGCGACTGGAGGCAGGGGCATCATGTGTGCTGAGCATGGCCCTGGCAGCTGCAGACACGTAAGTCTGTGGGAGGCAGGGCTTGGAGGCCCAGGGCTTAGGGACAGGGCGGGGAGGGGTGTATCAGCATGTGAGTGGGACAGGTACCTGCCGGCACTGGGGCTGCAGCAGGGCTGAGTGGGGAGGCGGGGAAGGTGCCTGTCCCTTCAGTGGGGATAGTGGGTGGGAAGGTTCTTTGGGGCCAGCAGGGAGCTGTGTGGGCAACAGGGCCATGGGTTGGGATTGAGTGGCACCAGCAGGGCTGGGGAGGGACAAGGGCTGCAGGTTAGGAATAAGGAGCACTGGCAGGGCTAAGGGGGCTGTGGCTTGGGAGTAAAGGGCACCAGGGGGCAGGGGACTGTGGGTCGGGAGTGCGGAGCACCAGCATGGTCTGGGGGCCATGGTACTGTG